ATACATATTCTCGTGGTAAAGGGAGGAAGAGGCGATGTGAAGCATCAGAGCAGAGCAGTGTGTGTGCACGCAGGGCTGAGTGTGTGTTTGTGTACGTGGAGCTCCCACTGTGTGATACCAAGCTGTGTTTCTCACTTCTGCAACAGTATAATTGAATATGTATATAGAACATCAGTATTTTGCTGTTTTGGGATGCAACTTGTAATCACAAAGGGGAAGTGATGGTGAAACTCTGCTCCGAATCAAACTGGTGACAGCTAAAATACCTTTAAAACTGCAGGCTGCGTATCAAAAGTTGACACGGCAGCGGCTGGGTCAACGTGTTTTAAACACTGGCTTTGGTTTGACAAACAAAAGGTCCTTACACGTAAAGCAGTAAAGGACTGAGGGAGATCAGCATCACTGTGTCACTCCAGAGAAAGTCACTGAGCGACCACACAAACACTCTTCTTATCCTGAGTGTCATCTTGTTCGATTAAAGCGCTTCTTCTCTCCTTATCAGGCAAGACCTAAGCACACAGACACACACTAAAACACATTAACACACACTGTTATCAGATGCTAACAGATTAAAGGGGGAGAAAAAAAGGATAGGGCTGTAATTTTTGCCAGAAGGAGGTATATTTCTTGGGTCTGTTTCAGTCAGACTTCCATCACTGCACGTCTCATATATAAGAAATGAAGCTCCAAACTCAAAGCTTTGATACAAACAACCTCGTTAGTCCGTACATACACATAAAATCTCTCCAAACACCTGAGCTCCGATGGGAGAGGAAGGCAGGAGAAGTGTCAGGAAATAAACAGAAATAGTGTCAACAGGTAGAAGAAAAGGTGCCTCTTGTTAGAAGGTGATAAAAGTGCTGATTGGTGGGAAGACCTCACTCTCTCTGATTGGTTGCTGTCTGTCTGCAGCTTAAAGATTTTTGCAGAAAAACACCACTAAGTGTTGAATTCCGGCAGGAGCCAATTATTTCCAATCACACACACATGAACAGTCACTACATATAGACACACACTTTTGCACTGTGATTGTTCGCAGGAAAAGAAGGCAAGTTCTCAAACAGCGATAGAAGTTCTTTGTTTCTACTCCCAATCAAAATGGTTAAACCTCAGCATGAGATGGTCAAAGCTTGGTTTTGGCTCAAATCTACTGGGTAAAGCTAAAATCTGGTAAATTTGGGGGCGAATTAAACCTCGAATTTACCGTTGGGTGCCTACAGGCCCTGCTTTGTCCAATGGTCTGATGCTCATGTTTTTATGTTATTAATTCTGAATATTATAACACTGATTATTATTATAATATGCAAATAATTTGAATAAGTAACCTATGTAGTGTTGAGCAGACATCTTGTGTATAATATGTATGTATTTATACAGATCTTTGTCATTTATACAAAAAGATTTTTTTTCAAAAATCTCTAATTTGCAAGGAAGGGGCAGGACTAGATAAACTCTTTAAGCTCTTCGTTCTGTTCCTTCTCAAATGTTTATTTTGACATACATATGTTGTCAATTTATCTTTGACATGTACAGTTGTTTGGTGTAGTTATGTATTATTTTGTTCTGTGTTTTTGTTTCTAGTTGTTTTTTTGTTGTTCTTAAAGTCTGAGATAAAGAAAGAAAGAAAGAAAGAAAAAGAAAGATAGATGTTTGGACACTCTGGCAGTCTGTGTGAAGGGGTTAGTTCAGTATAATTTGGATTATATGAGGTACTTAGCAATAGTAAGTGTACTAGTCACAAGGGTTCAGTGCAACCACACTTAAAAAAAGGACAATTTTGAGCCCAGTAGCACTTTTGTCAGATCAAAACACTTTGGCCAAACTTATATTCCCTCCATAAGCACCCATCAACCTGCCACTGGTTTTGAATCAAGGTGTAAACATTTTTATATCGGCTGTAAAGATGAGCATTTTTGAATTAGTGTGTATGTGGTTTCTGGTGGTTTTGCTGCCAGCCTCTAGTGGACACTTAAGGAACTGTTGTTTTTTTTTTTTTTTACACTTACCCTGGCTTCTCCGATTATCACGTGAAGAACAGTTCAACCTACTGATTTTGCTTTTATTTTGAAAATTAACTGGATATTTTTACGCTGAAGCTGCATACAACTTCTGCTGCTGCTCGTACTGCGCTGCAATGAATTCATGCGACATGCTGCAGCATCCGGCAAAAATAGAAACCTTGCGTATCTGATCTGGCAGCAGAGCCAGACGGCAGACGGGTTCTGTGGAATGACACACATTGATTATAATGCTTGTGTATTTGATCTGCCTATCCATGCCGTTCCAGATCTTGTGGGTTTTGCCTGTTATACATCAACTTGCTGCTTGATCTAAACAACCTCTGAAAAGACACTGAACTTCTCTGTGAAATAGAAAAGCCTCAGATGTCACAGAAACACAGTGTTTATCGCTGTAAAGCTGCCGGTCTCACAAAACGAGTGGGTTTGACTGTAAGTTAGTCGAGCTTACTGTTTTATCTTTAAAGGAGAAATCATAAACACAACAAAATTAAGTTACAGCTCCTTTTCTGTCCATCATGATCTGATTTCTTGGTTGACAACAGCGCTAATTTCCTATCGTCCTTTTTTGACAAGACACATGGCACAAATTGGAAACAACGATGATGGCTTGAACCAGTTGGTACAAGTTCTCATCTGTCCTTTCTCATTCTTACTCATACTGGCCTATTTTTCCTAATTTAAGGCGCCAACTCCAGAGACATGACACCCACTTGTTTCCTGACGTACTCTACCAAAAGCAAGATATGATCCTTGTGAGTTAATGCTGTTCACTTTACCTGTCTGTGGTCATTCAGTGTGCGATGAATTGAACCCCATTCTACAAACTGAGTGTCTCTGAGCTCGTCTTTGCTAAATAAACTCCAAAAGAATAAAATGAATTATTTACAATAAAAACTTGTGCCACAGCAACACAAAGAAAGAAAAAGTGCAAACATAAAATATCAATGAAGATGAGAGTATAAAGGGAGAAAAGTGCAAAACTGCCAAAAACATAAACAACATCTGTAAGAAGTACATTGAATTATTTTGGCAAGTTGCTCATAAATATGGAAGTATACAAGGAGAGTGTTTTATGAGGATAAATTTTGTGGCGTAGAGTGCAGTAATCAGGATTCGCTTCATTTCTTTTGACACATGTTGCAGCTTGATTACGACATTCCCACGGGCGGCTGTTCACAGTAACGATGCTTTCAAATACAGTTTTAAAATTAGAGTTCCAGTAAAAATTCATACGCCGAGTTCTGCAGAGGAGGAGGAAGAGGAGGAGGAGGAAGAGCAGGAACAAAAAGTAGGAAAAAGTACAGTCTGTTTATCACGCTGTAGCTTTAGGATTCCTCTTTCCAGTGAACCCACTAGATTTTTTTTCTTTCCGTGTGTCAATGCATATATATTTATGTGTGTGAGTGTGTGTGTGTGTGTGTTTGTGCGTGGTTTGATAACAGTACCCTCCTGATAATCAGCCACAATTACGTCCCAACAGAGAGCGACAGTAAAGAAGTGGGTGGAAGAGAGAACTATTGATATGGTAATGTCTGCTGCACACACACACACACATATACACTGACAGCAGGAGAATAGAAGGTTTCATTTTCTGTCTCGCAAACCTTTTATTACATCCAGATAGTGAAACCGCTCATTAGAGACACAGCGAGCGGAGAGGTGTTGCATTCAAGTGAATTCCCACAAAAAGAGACGTGGCATAGGTGACGGAGCCTGACTGTTTAATTATTATTATTATCTGACACATTCACAGCCTATAACGATCCTTTTCACAGCAAATGAGACTTGAAAATGGGACATTTATTGTCACAGAGACTGATTTCTCTACAAGTCACTTCAAGTTCTTCAAATATGTCTCTTACACCTCCGACCACACGCAGTGAAGTGAACTGTATGTTTTAATGTGAGTGTACTCAAAAGCGGAATTATGGTATTTCAAACCTGGGCCTGATTTAATATCAATTAAAGTCTAAATGACACAGAAGTTTTGTTTTGGTTTACTATAAATCAGACCGAGTGCATCCTTTGGGGAAAAAAACTCAAAACTTGGTTTGGTTTTCTTTTTTTCAGAATGTCTTTTAGACTCAATTTGAGCCAAATTCACCTGACAAGCCAAAATTAATATCCTCATTCAAGATATTAAAGCCAAAAGTAAGACCTGGATTTCTTTTAATGATCAAAAAACCTATCCAGGGGGGCAGAAAAATTTACTGTCCAGTTTCCTCAATTGAGACATTGTTCATTTCAGGAAACTATTCTCACTTCATGAACAGAATCTTTTACCCACTGCAAGCTTTTTCCTAACTTGGGCTTGAAACAAGATATTTGCCTTGATTCCTTGGGTAAATAAAGTGAGAAAAGTAAAATAAGATGTTTTTCTGTGGAATGAAATCCACAAAAACCCACAATCTTCTCTACTTCACGCAGACTGTAAATGTAAAATAATGACATACCCCCCAATGGTCAATACTGTCTGCCCTCGCTGTCCATGGTGCTGAATTTGCCCCAGTTCGCCATGATCCAAACATGCAGCAAAAATCTCCCTTTTAATCTTTCTTAAAACTCATGTCAATCACTTCCCTTTACTTTAAATTTCACACTTAGATGCCTGACAAAGCAACTGTCACAAGTTTTGCAACACCAGGACATACCCCCATTGTGCTGCTAAAAACACCTCCACATCAAGCAAAGTAAAAGAGAGTCACAGCAGCTTAAGGTGTTACATTAGCAGCCATGTAATTAAAACTAATTAAAAAGACCACGTTAGCTGAAGCTCTTAGCTGTATATTGTCAACCGGAGGTGATTTAAACTGTAATAGCAGCGCAGTGAGACATCGCCTCACTATAAACACTCTGAAACCGAGCAAACTGATCTGCAGTCAGCATGAGGACATCAAATCTGCCTCAAGACTTTTTATGTAAAAGACTTTCTTTCTTTACCAAACAAGAACAAATTTGCAAAACTGGGAACAAGTGTGTGTTTGAAAGCTCCTTGTTTGGTGTTTAGTGTGTACGTGTGTTTTTTTTTCTCAGTGTGGCCGCCAACTGTTTCAGAAATCCTCTCATGTTTCATCTATTTTCTTGGGGGAAGAAGATAAGAGGCGTGTTTGTCAGTGTTCCTGAGCCTTTGTGCGTAAGGAAGAGTTTGTGTGAGTGTGTGCTGAGCATACACACTGACCACATTAATATTCAGCACTCCGTCTCGTCCTCGGCGCCTGTTTGGATTTCTGTGACTGAATCCTCAGGTGTGTAACAGCTGCAGAAACATTTGTTGAATTTCACTTTGTTCTTGAACGTCTTCCTCAGTCAGTCGGGGAACACCTGTAGGTGCTGATGAGGGTTTAATTTCATTTTGAGTAGATTATCAAGTTATTATCCACAGTGATGAAGCATTACAATTAATTCTCTCTCCATTTTAGTTTCAAAGATGAAAATTAATTATCTCTAACATTTGCTCTTTTTAATTACAAATTACTTGTCGTATTCTCACAGTTATGAACACATTTAATGACTTTTCCAAAGATATGAAACAGTCTTTTTGCCTGATATCCCCATCTTTATTCAAGAACTCCAACTGTTCAACAAAATGACTCAATTATTTCTTCATCTAAAATTTACATGTTTCCAAATCACTGCTGTTCACAACGCTCATTACTAGAGGAACTTAGTCTGGAACTGTTTTAAGATTTCATAAATCAAATGTGTAACTTTGTACAAAAACACAATTGTATTTCTTTGAGAGAGCTGTTCAGAAATGGTTTTGTTATGTTGGTGTATCAAGGAACTGTCAAGAGTACAGACTGCAGTACCATTTTTTAGAGGTAATACCAGATGTTATAGTTAACAATACAAAGTAAATGCACTTGTCTATAATCACACTTAAAGGGATATTCCTGCGTAAAATTAATTCAATTTAAACACATCGTAAATCCGAGTTAGACAACCCCGCGAGAGATGAATGTTGCTGACCGCTTGCTTCTCTAGTTATACTAATTTTAGTGACCACCGCACAATAGCAATACACAGCGGCCTGAGGAGTCAAAAACAAAACTCAACCAAAACGCCACTCTATAGCCACAAATAATGCTCAGAACAGCACCTAACTTCATCAACAGTACATATAGAGTCCCAGCCACAGCACTAGCCACCAAACATCTTTTTAACTTTGCCTAATTTCTTTAGCAAAGGGACTTAACACAACTCACCTACTCTCTTCCAGAAGCCGTTAGTTTGTAGCGAGACCTTGGGCCAGTCCATTACGGACTACAGCGGGGTGACGCAGCTAAAGGAAAAACATTTATGATCATTTCTTCATGGAACTGCAATCAGACCGAGACGCTAAGGCAGAAGAACTACCGTGTTTGCTAAGCAAAATGATTAATATGATGATTATTACTTAAAGGAAATGATAAAGAAATGATCATAAATGTTCTTCCTTGAGCTGTGTCACCCTACAGCAGTCCATAATGGACTGGGCCGAGGTCTCGCTACAAACAAGTGGCTGCTGGAAGCGAGTAGGTAAGTTGCATTTAGTCTTTTTGCTAAAGAAATTAGCCAAAGTTAAAAAGATGTTTGGTGGGTAGTGCTATGGCTGGGACCCTATATGTACTGTTGATGAAGTTAGGTGCTGTTCTGAGCATTATTTGTGGCTACAGAGTAGCGTTTTGGTTGAGGTTTGTTTATGGCTCCTCAGACCGCTGTGTATTGCTATCATGCGGTCGTTACTAAAATTGGTATAACTAGAGAAGCAAGCAGTCAGCAACATTCATTTCTTGAGGGGGTGTCTGACCCCGGAATATCCCTTTAAAGGACTGCTGAAAAAACACATATTTGGATCACTTAACCATTTGAATCATCACCACTTTGTGAACAAATGTGTCCGCAAATATTCCAACCCTTGTAAAACAAAGTTTTTCTCAATGTTTCAAGAATTCAAGGATTTCATCATCTGCAGTCTACAACATGTCATTAAAAGATTTAAAGGAATCCAGAAAATCTCTGCACGTGGGCGGCAAGGCCAAAAAGCAACACTGAATGCCTGTGACCCTTGACCCCTCGGGCTGCACTGCATTTAAAACTGAAATCATTCTGTAGAGGATAAAAAAAGGACCTAGAAATGCCGACGGCTTTTCTGAGCTTGACTGAAATTAAGTGGTTTTGCTTCATCAAAATTATTCCTCCTTAAATGTAATCCAACTTTATCTAGCTTTTGAATCAAAAAGGGGAGAGGGGTACCATCCAAGATTTGACTTAAATTGATTGAAAAAATGAATAATTTTGGCCAATATTTGACATGACTGTGCATACTGTTTTTCAATAGTGATGGTGGAAGAACGTTAAACACTGCCACACAAAAAAAGTCATTTTCTCCCACAACATACAGACTGGACTTACTCTGACACCGATTCAAGAAAATCAAAGTATAAAATCCCTCAGCCAATTAGATGCAAGGATAATCTGTTGCCATGGTAAAATAGAACAATACCTCATTGTTGGGCTCTGCTGCTGCTGCTGTGTGTTTTTCCTCATTAGACTGAAACAAAGACAGAGGATTGTGTAAAAAATATTACACACACATACACACTAACACAGATATATAAGCTCATGAGTCCAGCATTGGCGTCTTAGTGTGAACAAAGCTAAGCAGAAATTAAATTAATTCAGTTCTCAGAGACGAGAACAGCAAATGAATATTTAGCATGACTGTGTATGTGTATGTGTGTGTTTTTGTGTAAATTTGAGTGTGTGTATGTGTGTTAGTGTGTGTGATTTTGGCCTCGAGGAAAATCAGCTCAACTTTCATTCATATTGAAATGAAGCAGCGAGAGAGGAGAAGAGAAAGAAGGATTAGGAGGAGATAAGAGAGTGAGAGAGGACAAGAAAGGAGACAGGGGAGTAAGGAAGGGAAGGAGGTGAAGGAGAGAAAGGGAAGTAGGAGATAAAAGGAGGAAGAAAAGGAAAGGAAGGAGTAATCACGAAGAGAGGAGCACACAAAAGGAGTGACAGTATCTGTGTTTTCTTGTTTCACTGCTGTCAAAGAAGAAACTAATCCATAGTCAACACACACACACACACACACACACACACACACACACAGCTTCTCATTGTTGCTGTAAGTTCCTGCAGTGCAAAGAATGATTTTTCCACAGTTAAAAAAAAGTTTTGCTGCAGATTTTCAATTATTTAGATAGCAAATAAATTAGACACACACACACACACACACACACACACACACACACACACACACACACACACACACAGGTTTGGGTCTTTGTAACTTTAAAAATTTCCACCTAAGTAGGAAGGTCCCCAAAAGAGAATGTCCAGAAAATACTGGTCCCTAAAAAACCAGACATAAACAAACACAATCACACACACACATATGTTCTTGTCTTTGATGCTGTGTGAGGACAACAGTTTGAAAGTTTTTAATGAGGACCACTATTTCCGGTGTGGGTTGGAATGAACTTTGTGATTCACCTGCTAAGTTGTCAGGTAAGTTGCCAAGCAAGCACATCTTTAACCAGCTGAAATAATTTTTCAAAATGTTTTGCAACACAAAGACACAAATCAACTGATCAGTTGTTAGTCACTCGAACAGCTGACCAAATTAACATTACAATTTAATCCTGAAAAACAAATGCAACAGCTATTGCAATGCATTGCTATCTTGGCACAAACATTTACTGGCTGTTTGGTGCACAGCCCTTACCAGTCAAACTAAAAATCTACATACATTTGGCGTGTAGTGGGTGTTACTTTCAGACCCTGTTTCTAGTGTAGCTACAGCTGCTGGTTAATATTGAGTTGTGGAGAAATTAAGAAGGGTTGGGGGAAACCACAGAAAGTAGTGGGGGATGCTTAAACACACACAAGAACTTGAGTTCCATCAAATTGTATAAAACACCCGAGCAGCAACAACGTTACAGAAGTGAAGAGTGAAAAAGATATCAGCGGAAAAGTTAAAAGGAAAAAGGACCTTATACAGGTGCTGCTGACATTTTCTGTACCTCCAAATAGTAAAATGCTTTTGTTCCACTTTGCTGTGAATAATAATGTTCAATTCAGTGTTAATTCAGTCGGTAAGTAGGCTGATAGGAATATGATTGCTACAGAGGCCTTACCAACAGCCACAACTGAGGGATTTTTAATTTTCTTAGTCGTTTAAACAAGTCATTTTAAAATCAATTAAAAAAAATCTTTGAATTAATTCTGAACATCAGCTTGTTTGTTGTGGTATAAAGCTTGTATTTGTCAAAACATCAAGACAATGCATAGTGGTCTATTAGACTACTATATGACTTACATACAGTATATACTTTTGAACAAACACTGCATCCAAACTAGTGGTCAAGATGCATTCATCCATCTCCATTTCTTCTTTGCATATTTATATTGTAGTATTTTCCTTTTTGTTTTTGTAGTTTTATGTTTTTCTGCAATAACAAGCCTTTTACCCTGCAGTACACTCTTCGCATTTTACTGCCTACCTGTGTGAGTATGTAATAATGGGACTTGATTCTTGAATAAATATTTATATTTTCCAGAGAAACTAATGTTCCTTTAGAAAAACACTTCACAATAATTGTTTTTGAATCCGCCTGAATCACATCAATAAGAATAAGCTCATTTGACTCCGCCACTTTCTGACTGCTGGCACAATCAAACACACAAACAATCTTGACATAAGCTACATAATAGGTGTAATAGAATAAAATCACTGAGGTCTAACAGGATCCTGTAACACTGAGGAGAGCAGTCAGAGTCTAATGATGAATTTACTCTTTAATTCTTTTCAGTAATGTCATGAACAGCCCCTTTTTATTACGACCTCGAGTGTTTCCACCGTCTCCCATAGACTGTAGGGCTGCTGTTGCCATGGTAACATCCGATTACACTTGTTATCAGAAAATGAATTACAGTTTTCTCTCTCTTTCTGTGTCGTCCTGTCCTCTATTAAACTGTGTGAGTATGTGTGTGAGTGTCTGTGCGCGCTATCTAAAATGGGATTCCTCTGAACAGACAGAAGACATTCAGAATAATAACAACTTGCAAAACGCTGCTATTACTCTGTCTCCTCTCGTCTGCTTATTTCCTTTTTCTCTGCCTCTTCTGTGATGACTTCTGCCCTCCATCCTTCAGTTGCTCATTTATTTTCTCTTTGCCCACTTTTAGCCTCACATATTTTGTAACATATCTTTTTATACTTTTTTTCACTCTGTATTTCCGTCTTTGTTTAAGAAAGTACAATAACAAGGAAAAGGACAATACTATATTTCAATTGTCTGAAAGAAGATGCGTCAGTGAACTGTAAGTTAAAAGGCGTATTAGTGTTTCTTAAGTTGCACTATTGATGTATTTTAGCAAACTAACAAAGGTCAAAAAAGCCTTTTGAGACTGAGCTGAAAACTGCAATTCTCTAAGTGTCCACTAGAGGATGGCTGCAAATACCAAAGAATCCAATTGACAGCCATGTTAAATATCCATTTTTACAGCAGGGCTACAGCTGGTTACAACTTCAACTTTGGCCAATTTATTTATTTATACCTTGTTTATGGAAATATTTTTCTGCTGGAAAGTAACAGATTTAAATATATTGACCATATATTTAAGCCAGATTCTTAACCTACTTTGTAAAGACAATATAGCTTTATAAAATGGCAGAGGCCAAGTCCATTTTCACAGTTTTCTGTCCTATTTGGCTTAGTAAAATATTGCAACAGCATCGCAAAGCCCAGGCAGCTCAGAAAATAACATACTCACAACAGGTTGCTTTGCCTTTCTGTAGTCGATTTCCTGCTAATTTGGATATTATTCTGTGACTGTTGTGTTTCTACTGTATATGAACAAGCAAGATGATTCTATGGTTTCAGTTTTTGGGGGTCTACTCATGTTTAGTGAAGTAAACTTTATCCCCCTATGCTTTGCTGTTAACTTCAGACACAGTTAGCTGCTCAAAGTCCTGTTGTGATCCACATGAATCAGGGATTGGCCATGGGGTTGTTGTGTTTTAATGATAAATCCATAACCTGGAAGTACTTCTCATCTCCATGAGCTGATATACACACACGCATCTTGAGAGTTTTGGGCTTTAGGTATTTTTAGATTTCTGTCCAGCTATTGATAAAAACTCTACAGCAAATACAACGTAAATATCTTGATGAAAAAAAAAAAGCCAATCCTGGAAACTGCACCTAAAGAGACACAAATATGGTTAGTTTCTTCTCCTTACAGACCTCGGCCATTCATCAAGTGTAAAACTTGCTTTCATATGACTGGTCTTTAATGGAAAAGTGACATTAATGAGTGCAGCAATGCTCCAAAAACTAGAAGTTAAAAGACATTTTGCATTGAGGACACTGAGAAGCAATGGTTTTGTACTTTGCCTGCACTAAAAAATTGGCATCAATACAGCCGTATTAGCTTTTTTTATGCTTCTGCTGTAACTCTGCACTGTAGCTATGATGCCCTTGTGAGCACTACGTACATGAGCAATGACTGTCTGTCACCCTGCAATACTCCAACCAAAATGCTAGTCAGCAGTGCAATGTCTATGTTCGTCACATTACCAGTTTCCAGTCCCTCTGTGTGTCCTTCTTATTTACATACATTGAGCCACAGTGACTGAATCCAAGCGTAATATGAAGATGTTGAAGTTGATTTATGTATTACAGCAGTTAGTCATACTGCAATTATTGCAAACAAGAAAAAAGAGGAGATAGACTGCATTAGAAGCTTAGTGCGGCCAGGGGAAAGTGGAGATTGCAGTTATGTCCAGCGCCAAGTGTACAAATCACAGGGCCTGCAGAGCATTGTTGTTTCGACATCCAGTTACATTGTGCAGGTTTCCGAGCATATGCTATGGTGTAGGTCTGACGCAGAAGTATAAACCAGGCTTTATTCATTGATTTGCACAGTTAAGCCTGCAGACTCGAGGGAAATGTTTACTTTGGCATTAATTAGTCTGCATCAGAGCGTTCACTTACTTAATGATGTGACAGCAGGACAACAGCATGCATCCACAAATGGACCTGGAGCATAACTCAACTTCCGAATGCATCTAAATGCCTTTTGTCTTTGATTGATTCAACGGACAATTATTCTTGCTATTAAAGCTGACTGGAAATGACTTCATTATGACAGATATGTCAATCAACCTTGATAAATTAGGACCAGATGACATGAAATATCTCCCTCATTAGACAGAAAACTATAGTGGCACCAATTAATAAAAGAGGAGCTTTAAAATAACCAGGATTGTTATTGCTTTGGTCTCCTCTGATTTTTTTTTTCAGTTCTTCCTTTCCTTTTGTCCTCCCTCCTCTTCCCTTATATTCTCGTTTTTATTCATCCCATCTTCCATTATTTACCTCCACATGCTGCTCTTGCTCTTGGTTATAAACTCACCGTCCTGCCTGAGAGAACGACAGATTCAATTTGGTTTTGTCCTAAACTGGCAGCCTGCCTCTTTCTTCTTTCATTTCCATTCATACCGCACTAAAGTACTCCTCTATCTTCCTCCTTTCTCTCTCTCTCTATCATCTGTTCAGCTCATTTCTCTCTCTGTCACTTTCTTTCCGAGTCCCATTAATCTCCACACACACACACACACACACACACACACACACACACACACACACACACACACACACGCAAACACACACAGTATAAACTCTCAGTGTGTATCTGTTGCGTGATTTCCCAGGGTGCCGTGGGAAAAACACTAAAGTCGTCCATCACTGAGGATGATGATC